ACGACGACTACTACTATTACTACTATTGCTACTATTGCTACTACTACGATGCCCACTTGTGCATAAAGTGGAAACTCAGGCCCGGGCCAGCGGCTGGCCGGTGCTGGTAGGCGTGGCGCTGCTGGCACTGGGAAACACCCAGGCAGGCTGGCCCCTTGGCTGCACAATATGGGGACGTCTGCCTCTATGCATGCATGTATGCATGCATGCATGATGCATGGATGTATGTGTGTACTGTATGTGTGTTTGCTTACGTATCTATGTACATGCCTATGTGTATGGATACGTGCATGTATTGCATGATTATGTGTGTGTGCGTATCTGTGTCCACGTGTACGGATATGTAGGTGTATGTATATGTATGTGTAAAGGTCTGTCCATCAATATGCACGTGTATGTGCATACGTACGCATGTATGTAGATGTATATTCAAATGTATGCGTATAGACCGTATAGATCCATATCAAGCCCTTGCGATGTGAATTCCCAAGCCCTAGTCCCAAACCCGCCTTTTTGGGCCCATTTCGGAATGCCTCCGGGAAGCCCTGTTCAGAGAAGCACGCATGTAGGTGCCATTAAACAATACTTTGTACACAGCCGGGCAGCCTTCAGCCCTAAACCCTAAAATCGTAAACCCTAAACCTATACCCTTCAACCCCGGAAATAAAGCCCTAAACTTCAAAACCCTGACCACAGGCTCAAACTTAGACAGGCTTGAGTCCAGCTGGCATTTGCTGGGGGATAGTAGGCAATATCGGACTATTTTACATGGGGAGTGTATAGGGAGTATATTACCTTCTTCCTTACCACTAGTAATGTGAACAGAGGACAGGAGCAATACAAATAATAGTACCAGTTCTTAATCCTCCCCTGCTAATGATAAAGCTCCGCACTCGTGGGAACGTTTATGACTACAGAGTCCCTAAACCTTAACACTTGGCCCTGAACCCTTTTGGGGGATGGGTGGAAAAAGAAAACATTACTCACCGCAAGTCGCTATAGTCCCCCTTAAGTAGATAGAATATGGGGTATATGAGGATCTTGTTATAATATACCCGAAGCCAGATTCTAGCTACTTAACGGGGCCTATACCCTAAACTCTAAACCCTGAATAGTAGTTTCCATGTTCTTTTCCATTATCCCAACATGACCGCCCCCGTATTCTATCTACTCAAAAGCCCTCTCAACCCTAAGCTCTCTCAACCCTATCAACCCTACACCCTATCAACCCTAAACCCTAAATTATAGTTCCCGTTTTCTTTTCCATTATCCCAATATAACCCTAAACCCTGAACCTTAATTCCTAAGTATTAGTTCCAATTTTTCTTTTCCATTATCCCAATATAACCCCAACATAACCCCTTATAATCCTATGTATCCCTTTAAACTTACCTAGGGTTTCCATTTTTCCATTATCTCAATAAAGCCCCAAACAAGGCCCCCAAAACGCTTCGCGCCCGAGGCTGGCTCATGACTACGTCCATGGCGTGGACAAGTTCTCTGAACGGATGCCTTGCTTGAGTAGGATTTAATTTGGGATACTATGGTACCCAATATTACCCCAAGAATGGAGAATCAAATGGAAAAGAAAATGGAACATGAAATGGAAACTGGGATTATGTAGGGGTTATTTGAGTTTTATTTAATTTGGGGATACTATGGTACCCAATATAGAAAAAGATTCTATCCTCGTTTTGGGGTATAGTACTTGATTTAAGGATTAATCTTACTAGGTTCAACCACCAAAAAACACTACTTACTTGCCCAGTAGATTCTAAGGGAGCTAGGGATTTGAGGTTCAGGGATTTAGGGTTTAAGGATGCAGGGTTTTTAGGGATAGCGGAATTTAAGGGAGTTTAGGTTCAGGGATTTAGGGATGTAGGGTTTTAAGATAAGGGATTCAGGGCTTAGGGTGATTTAGGGTCTAGGGGCTTAGGGTTTACAATTTCAAGATTGGGGATTCAGGATTTACGGTGATTTAGGGTTTAGGGATTTAGGGGCTAGGGTTTAGGGATTTAGTTTTTAGCGTGATTAGGGTGAAGGGATTTAGGGATTTAGGGGGTGGGGTTTAGGGCGATCTAGGGTCTAGGCTTTAGGGATTTAAGGTTTAGGGATTTAGGGTTTCGGGTTTAAAGATATGGGATTTAGGGGTTCAGGGATTAGGGTTTAGGGATTTAGGGTGTCGGGTTTTGAGGGTTTTGGGTTGGTTGGTTCAGGGATAGGCTTCAGCCTTTTTTCTGGCCTAATACTCTAAACTCTACACCCCAAACTCTTCATTTTGATGCCTGAACCCTAAACCCTGGCCAACCTTGGGAAAAGCCTGAGATGCTCAGACCCCGAGGATGCGCTTCATGGGGGCACTGTGCGCAGGTCTTTCGCCTTTGTGGCCTGCCCAGGATTCAGGATTTATGGGGCTTTAACATGTGCATATATATAAATATGAATATATGTATAAACAGATAAATATAAGTATATATATATACACATATACATTTGCAGGTTTCCCAAAATCAGTGGTACCACTCTTGGGGGGTCCCCATGATAAGCATCATGGTGCTTTGGGGTCTATACTTGGATTCCCCTATTTACGGAAACTCCATCCATATATATATATATATATATACACATGCGTACTTATGAGCAGCGTTGGCATCCTTTAACCTTTTGGGGGCCAGGAAACTTAGCAGCTGGGAGTAAGAGATGCCCTACTGGGGCGAACTTCACCTCCAGGTTCAAGCTTAGAACCCAGCACAGCCCATCCTAGACCATAAAATACAAGTCAGTTCGGGCTTAGGGTGTAGGGTCAACTCTCAATCCCAGATGTACACGCCAAAGCTGCAGCATGTTACAATCCCATGTTGGGCTGGGGTCAAGGGTCTACTTGGAGGGTGAGGCGGATGTAGCAAGCAGCAGCTGAACAATGGGGATACTTAGGTTTACTATATGGCTTATAGTGGTGAAAAGCATACTTACCTTTCCCCCGTGACCCTCCAAGTCGGAGGTATCTTGCCTTGGCTCAAATTTGGCTTGTGAGCTCAGGATACAGCTGGGGGATTTCGGTGCAGGATTCTGGGCTTAAGGCTTAGGGGCTGCAGAACTCAGAGAGACCCGTATACCTTAATCAAGGAATTCGGTAACATGATACCAGGATCACTGATGTGGTTCAAGGGAAATCCTTTCATTAGGGGGTTTTGGGCTCCCTTGCAACCCAATGAAATGAGAAGTCAGGTGGTGGTCAGACAAGCATAACAAGCACCATGCGCTCACGAACGAGATCGGTGTGGATGAGGACATTGCCACGGACCCTGCATCTCGTTCTTCAAAAAAGCCACACGATATCACGGCCTATGGTGGGGACCCTAATATAGACTCCAAAATACGATTATATTTTGGGGGCCTCTATAGTCCCTATTCAAGGGTACCTGCCAGGCAGGCAGTCATCCGCGTTGGAGTAGGCCCCTAAGCCCTGAACCCTAAACCGTACCCTAAGACTTAAAACCCCAAACCCTACACCCTA